TTTCCCTCCTCCAGGAGCTGATAACAGAGAGCCAAATGCAGTCCGTGTTTACAGATATAGGCAAAATCAACTTCAGAGATCCTTCGAGTTACTACGTGATTCCCAGCGTGCCGGGCCTGGCGTCTAATTCTGTCGCCTCAGCAGCGTGGCTAAGCAGTGAGGGGGAGGCTCTCTTTGCTCTGCCCTCTGCTTCGGGAGGGATCTTCGTCCTTAAGCTGCCTCCTCACGATGCGCCTGGTAAGGAGCGGGAACGGGCTGCCTCCTCGCATCCACCTCTGCCAAACAGCGCTCGGTGTGGCATCCCTTCTCCTAGCTTTAAATTTCTCCTGAGTTTGATTTTTGGCGTGTGTCGTACCAATTCACTCCACACACACAAAAGCTCTTTTACATCATGCCTATGAAGCTCCTTGCTGGTGGCAGTAAATATTTTGTTAACGTGTACTCTATATATCTCTTAACATCCCTTTTATTTTGAAAGGAACGGTTTCAGTCGTGGAATTGAAACAGAGCTCAGTGATGCAGCGTTTCCTTACCGGTTGGATGCCGACTGCCATCAGGTTAGTGTCTGGTGATGAATAAGTAGAACTAATTTTGTCTTTTCGATTCCCGCACCTAGAGTTTCTAGCTGAAGTCAAAGACGGACAAGTCAGCATCTATAAATACTCTGCCAAAAAAGTTAACTGGGTCACAGGACCTATCGCAGTACGGAAGTTGGGACTCGAACACTGGATTAGTTCATCTTAATGAAGTCCTGCTGATTCTGTGTGTCTGTGACTACGAATGTGTTATATCTAGTAATTGGCCTCCAAGGATTTGCCCAGGATATGGCTCGCAGCCAGCGCAGATTAAGGATTACAACAGTTGTATGTTCTTGCCCTTGTTCTGAAATGTCAGGCTTGTTCCTGACCGGCAGAGGTTACGTGTGGATGACACGGACGCTCTGTGTGCCGACTGGGCTTGATGTTGGATTGTAATCGTTACGGTGCGCAACCAAATTCTAGGCCCTGTTACTTGGAAATGAGAACGAGTTCCCTGACACCCTGAATGACTTTGACCATCAGCGGTGTGTTGCTTGGGGCTGGTTGGATCCCTCCTTTCCTCTGGATCCTTCACCCATGTTCTGCAAGCGCTAGGCTGGGGAAGCCGGAGATGTGCTTCAGCTCTGCCAAAGCAGGTGAAGAACCTGTTACTGGTGTGGTGGGCTCCTGCACCTTGGACGCTGACCCACACAGTCCTGAAACCCTGCTCTCTCCTGGATGTATTTGTTTTTAAACACAGTGTGATAGAAACCCGGTGCCATGGGTCTACATGCTAGCCTTGATTTTCTTTTAAGCTGTTGAAATAAACTCTGTATTTTCAGAGGTGACTGTGGCCCATCGGACCTGCCTATCAGCCTCTCCGTTCACTGCCTAGATCACGATGCCTTTCTCTTTGCTCTCTGCCAGGACCATAAACTGCGGATGTGGTCCTATAAGGTGAGTGAGGGCTGGATTCGGGGCGACAGCATCTTCCGTTACCTCTCGGGCAGTAGTCTGAGGCTTAAGGAACGACAGCTGGGTGGTTGGCATAGATTTGATTTGCCGTTAAATCGTCGCTGCAACTTCTACGTGCTGGGATTCAGGGCAATTTGTGAGATCAGTGGTGGCGTGTGTAGCCACATTTGGAAAGCGGGTGGGTTTTCTCTACAGCAAAGCCTTGTGCGTAGGGTAAGAGGCAGCGTTAGGTTATTTACAAACATACTGGAGCACTTGGGAATTCAGGTAGGAGCGCTTCAAGGGCCGAGGAGGCACAACAAAAGGATTTTCTACTGCTTTAGCGGTAATAAGAGCCTCTTTGTAACATGGCTCCTTGTCAACAAAAAGTTAATAAAAGCCTCTGCTCGCTGCATGCCACTTGCTCCAAATATCGGTGCCAAAGCTAATCGACCAGCACAACTGCTTTCACGGCTCATCTGCGCTGGAATGCGTGCGTGCGTTACGGGAGGGAGGGGAAGGTTTATTGTATGTGCCGGGGCTCTGAAAGCACGTGTGCTCAGTGGCAGAGGGCACCGGTGAAAAGCTAAGCAGTGGTTCAGGTACGCGTATGGATGCTTCACTTCTGTCCTTTAGGGGTGGATCAGGGCAGACTGGCCAAAAGGGGAAGGATGAGGGAGAAGGGCGGTTTCTCAGTCCCAACCTTTCCTTTGCTGTTTTCCTAATACCTTTATTTTGTGTAGGATCAAATGTGCCTGATGGTTGCAGATCTGCTGGAGTTCATGCCGGTCAGCCGGGACCTGCGGCTTGCAGCTGGGACTGGGCACCGACTGCGACTGGCCTTCTCCCAGTCCCTGGGGCTTTACCTCGGCGTGTACATGCACGCGCCCAAGCGAGGGCAGGTATGGAGTGACGAGGCTTCCTCCCTGTGAATGCTTTTTTCTTGGGCTGCGCAGAAAATATGTCGTTGCTCCTTGGATTTGGGTCTGTAAGGGAAGAAATAGGGAAAAGCTTCACGTCTGACCCTCTGGAGAGAGCAGTACTTTCTGAATAAACAAACATTTTTATTCTCAAAGCACTGCAAGATACACGTGCTCTTGCCTTGGGAGTGGAACTCCCTGTGTGACTAAGCTGAGCTGTGAGTGCTTGTTCACTTGTTCACCTCCTGTTCTGGTAGGATCCCAGAAGTGTGTATGTGCCGTGGGAAAAGGAAAGGTCCAAAAGGAGCTAAAAGCATGGAAATACTGCTAGTATGTTTATGTCGGGCTCCTGGGAGCGTGCGGACGCATCGCTGCGTTGCCAAGCGTTCACTTCTGTAGGACTTCTGCTTCTTGTGGTGAATAATAAATTTAGCAGGATGGGAATGACGGCACAGAGCAATCTCATCTGTTGGACAGCTTACCCTTTCCGTTCTCCAGGGAATTCACATATGGAGTAGAAGTGCGTATCGTGACTTCTGCTGTCCAGCTAGTGCTCTGCTCTGGTAAGAACACGCAGAGCTTGGTTTGCGACAAGTGGCCTGAGGATTCAGGGCTTTTCCACCTTAGTCTCCTTACTTGCCCGCGTTGTGTTGTTGCTAGCAGTGCCCAGCGGTGGTGGTGTTACCATTTTGCTGATTTAGCCTTTCAAAAGGCAACTAGAAATCCTTCAGGTTCAGGCAGAGACGAGTGTCCTTGCCGGGGAGGCTGACGTCAGCCCGTGGCGCAGAGGGTCAGCTTGGCGCGGTGTGTGGTGTGCTCAGCTCAGCCCTCCTGCCCTCAGGGGCCTGGTGGCTGTAGGATCAGGCAAGGAGAGGGACAGGAGAGACGAGCTTCCCTGTGACACGCTGGTTATTAGCGTAGCGGTCCTTTAGCAAATGACTTACGAGGTGTGTTGGTAGTTCTGTGTCTTCCAGCTGGTGAGCACCGAGAGCAACCGCTACAGCCTTGACCACATATCCTCCCTGTTCTCCTCGCAGGTGAGTGCTGGGGCCCGGCTCCCCCGGGAGGCACCGAGGCAAGAGGGAGGGTTGCTTACGGAGAGATCGGAGGCCCGGACGTGGGGATTTAACTGTGAATAAAGAAGTCTTTCCAAAATGTTGTTAAACGCTACAAGGGAATGTCTTGCTGTTGTTAATTGCACGCGTCTCTCTGCTGTACTTGAATTTTTGAGAAGGTAAACACGTGCGCTCTCCCCTAGGAGACTCTTGTTGACTTTGCCTTAACCTCGGCTGAGATCTGGGCGCTGTGGCACAACGAAGAGAACCAAACCGTTGTGAAATACATCAACTTTGAGCAGTGAGTTTCTGCGCTGAGCCATTGGCGTTGATAGCCTTGCGGGGATAACTGCAGGAGCAGCTCCACACGCTGCTCGTTAAAAGCACTGATCGAACTCCTTGACTTTTTTCCTGTCCCGCTTTGCTGACTGAAGCGCGTGGAGATGCAGCAGTACCTCGTTCTTCCTGTTGCGGTGTTGTGTCACGTGCGCAACTGTGTCTTCCTGCAGTGCAGATTATGTGGATTTTTACATTTCTTTGGGGGTTCTGCCTTATCATAAAGCTACAGCTCGGCTGCAGGAATGTGAAAAATGTAAAAAGCCGGGCGGCAGGCTTGCTGGGAGCGCAGTCTGCTGTGAGCATGTCAGAGGGAGGGCTGTATTTCACCAACAGCTCCTTTAAAACATAACTGGTTGGTCTCTTCCAAGAAAGATTGAGTTTTGAGGAGACCAGTGATGTGAAAGCATCAACCCTGTCTTTATAAAGCTGAGAGGGCAGGCTTGGGGCATAACCGGACCAGGGAGTTAAATTCTGGGTAAAAAATGCTGTGAGTGTGCAGGTTTAGGCAGAAGCAGCTACTGATCAGTCTGAGAGTTGCTGGGTGAGCGTGTGTGATGGGGAGAGTGTTGATATAAATGAAGGAATCCAACCTGTTTTGTTCGCTCAGGGCTGGGGATGCTGCTTTTAAGCTCCCCTGTCACTAGTCAAAGCTCCTGTTGCCGCATCTGAAGGGCCGTAGTTGCTGTAAAGTCTGTGATTGCGGGTAGAAGTGACAGGTTTGTTTCAGGTGGCCGCTCCTGGACGCGTTGTGTTGGAGCATTGCAATGCAAAGCTGATTCTGGTTTTATTTTTCCTCCAGAAATGTCGCGGGCCAGTGGAACCAGGTCTTTGTGCAGCCACTGCCTGAAGAGGAAGTGACGGTTCGGCACGATCAGGACCCCAGGGTGAGCCGACTATAAAATAGCAATAAGAAGTAATGAAGCTTCTCTGCCCAGGAGAACATTAAGGTGGTTCAAGTATACAAATTATATTGATACAGTCTTAAAATTACTCGAAATTAAAGGGGACAAAGTTTAGCCTCTATTACTACAGCATTAAAGGGCTAAGCATGGTTATGAAACAAGTTGAAGGATGAGGAGAATTTCAAGTCAGTCGAGAGAGAGCCTTGAGACGAGACATGTGAATTAACAAGATCTGGAGTGTGCGAGAAGCAGCGGTCGATCACAGGAACTGCCAAGGCGTTGGAAGGGGAGAGGTTGGAGCAGGGTGTGGGCATGAACTGAAGCTGGAAAGCAATACGGATCCAGGGGCACGAGCTTGAGAATGGGAGGAAGGACCAGAAGCGGTGTTTTAAATGCTCTCCTCCTGACACGTCTGTTTCCTTAAATTGTCTGTCTCTTTCTCTTCGCAGGAAACCTACCTGGAGTATCTCTTCATGCCTGGCCGGTTCACAAATGCAGCGATCCAGAAGGCTTTACAGGTTAGTCAGAGGGCATTTGGTGCGCTCTGTGTTCAGCTTCTCCTTCCTGGCCATTTAGATGTGAGGCAACGGGGTTCCTTGGAGCTCTTGGCGGGCATCAGTTTGTATTCGACGGTTTGTAGACCCGTCAGTAGTCGCTGAAGCAGGTCAGCGGCTGTTGTGCCATACTTCAGCTGGAGTGTGCTGATGGCAAAAGGCAGAATATGGTTTCCAGAAGACTTCCCCCTCCCTCCCCCTGCCCTTCCCTTAGACAGCACAGCGGGTTGCTGAGCTTGTTTTTCGTTGCCTGCTGCTTTAGCCAGGTGGACGGAGACTCTCAGCCCGCTGTAGTGCTGTTTCTCAGAATATATCCGCTCAGTTCTGGCTCCTCTGGGACTGTTACGGGCAGAGCAAGGCAACACGTGGTGCCGTTTTCAGGAAAACGGAAAACCCAAACTTTTCTTCTTTATGCTGTGACCTTCTGGAGGCCTGTAGCAAGGTGTGAGAGAGAGACGCTGTGAAGGTGCGCAGCGCTTCTCTCCTTACATCCCAATGCACTGCCTGCCAGGAGGCTTCCTCCATTTCCACAGCAAGAGGGTAGCTGGCAGCACATCCATGTACCCCACATTTAGCAGCCAGCCATGTTTTGTTAATATATCTGTCCCACGAAGTGCTGGCTGATGCTCTTATCTTTGCTTTATGTCACTCAATGCTGGTTGAACCTTAGGGAGACAACTCTCTTGCTTTAAAGTAACAGTTTACCGTGCTGCTTTTCAGATCTTTTCTCAGGGAACTGAGAGACACATGGATCTGACGTGGGATGAGTTAAAAAAAGAGGTTACCTTAGCCGTGGAAAGCGAGGTGAGTTTTTTAGTTTTGTTTTTGCCCCCCGTGATGTTTTCGTCTTAAATCCCTTGTATGCAGTGCTGTGCTGGTTCGGTGAAGTTAAATGAGGTGCAGAGCGACCCCAGGCCCTATTTTGTCCTTTGTCTCTCCAAGAGAGTTATGTGACTCTTTAAAAAAAGTACAGATCTTCATCCTTCCTGCCTGGCTTTTCCATTCCCTCTTCTTTTTTGGAGTCCTTTCTTCCTTCATGGTGTGCTGCTGTCTCCGCTCCCTTGGGTGCGCTTTGCACAGAGCGTGCTTTGCTGGTCGCACATCGTGTGCTGCCTGTTCTCTCTGCACGTGGGTGCTGGCCACCACCAAGCAAAGCTGTTGCTCGTGGTTTTAGACACCAGAAGATAATCTGCTTAGAGGACCTATCTGAAAGATCAACTGGCTGTTCTTTTTGGGTCTGAATTTCCTCTGTTTTATCCTGCTTCTCCGGGCTTTACTCCAATATGCCTGATTCCTTTCACCTGCAGCTCATCCTTGAGGCTGCTCAGGCTATTGCTAGAAAATTCACAAATAAAGGCGGTTTTGCATCCTCTATAGCAGTTGTGATGCATGGTGTTTTTAAAGAGATGTGCAGTGCTGCCCTTTTTCTTGATATCATCAGTGCTGCTTTATCTAAGGTTGTATAGAAACGGGCCCTGTGGGCTTTGTTCTGCTTGCCGATTGCTGTGTGATTCACTGCTGTAGCAAAAAACCTTGCATTTTGATGGTAAGGTGGTGGGGAAGAGAACCGTAACTGCTGTTTATAAACCTTAACCATGTAAAGGGGTGTCATTAGTCACAAGAGGCAAAACAGCGGTCCAAACGCTACAATTTTTCTCTCTGGTTCACTGCCTGTATTCATCCAAAGTCTTGTTTTGGTCCCGCTAGTTCCAGGGCAGCGTGACAGAATACGAGTGCTCGCTGGAGGAGTTTTGGCAGCTGCAGGTGGAGTTCTGGTCCAAGTTCTATGCCTGCTGCCTTCAGTACCAAGAAGCGCTCTCGCGGCCACTGGCCCTGCACTTGAATCCCTACACCAGCATGGTGTGCCTGCTGAAGAAGGTGAGGCTGAGCGGCGGTGGCTTTTTGGCCGCTGCGGCCAACTGAAGCAGTGATCTCCAGGGAGGAGTTCTTCTGACTGAGGTGTGGATTTGGGGAACTCAAAGAAGGGCTTTCTCCTCACCTTTCTAGGGCTCTCTGTCTTTCCTGGTGCCCTGCTCCTTGGTGGACCATCTCTATCTCCTCTCTAACGAGCACCTCCTGACTGAGGACGACGCTGCCATCTTTGAGGGTAAGTGAGAGACACGGAGCTCTTCCCTTGTCAGAGGCTGAAACGCTGCATGTCAGGGAAGCTGTAGGCAGAGGGTTGTGGGAGTTTCTGTAGAGGCCTCTTGAAGTGCTCCTGACTCCATAATTATTTATGTGGAGATAGTTTTCTTATTTTGGCATTTGTAGGGAGTTTTATTTTGTGAAACCTGCCACCGGGCTCAGACCAGGAATTAAAAAATGGTGTCAAGGCTGCAAATCTGCAGTGATTCATTTCAGATCATTTAAAAGGGAAGAATCTTAGCTTTCGGGCTGCTTGGTGGATCCTTTGCCCTTGTGGCCTTACAAACTATCTGTGTAGGCTGTGGTTAACTGGTGCCTTCTTCGTGCCCGCTCTCTGTGGGACACCTCTGCCAGGTTGGAGCTCGATAGCGTGCTGGCAGGTCCCCAGTGCTGGTGGGGAGAGCGGGATGCAGCGGCTCGTGTTTCTCATCGTGTGGGTGACTCCCCCCTCCCTATATGAAATCTGCTTTGCGTTATGTCAGCTGGGTGCTTGCGCAGCTTCATCATCCCCACCGAGAGCCTTAAGACCTACTCTCATTCGGTGCAAGCAGTTCTGTTTCATAAAATTCCCCCATCTCTGTGTCTTGTTGCTGGAGTAAACAACTCCCTTCAAAGATGACAGAAGAGAAGGAAACTTGTGATCCTCTGAGCAGCCTGCCCAGTTCTGCAAGCTTAGTTTTTAGTGAAATGTTTTTGTATAAATGTTTTTGTGTAAGCTGTGGAGAGGGACTGCGCCTGTTCTCGTATCCGGGAAGTCAGTGCCAGCGTGCGCAAAAGTTGTCGTTCATATGGTCGCCACAGTGCCCTCTATGCTTTGCTGGCCGTGGAATGACGTTTCACAAGAAAAAGGCAACGGAAAATGTTACCTAAGCTCCACTTTCATGCTCGAGTGATTTTTATATTTTTGTAAAAAGGAATCGTCATCCGTTTGGTTGAGCTATTTCTGGCTCTGAGGGAAGGAAAGCTGGAGGCCTGGGCTGGGTTTGGGAGCCTCGCAGTTCCTGCCCTGTCTGTTTCAAACTTCTCAAAATACGTGACTTAATTTTCAAAACGCCTACGTGAAGGCTTGTATTGCAAAGCGGTGATTTGAATTCTCAGTAGTGAGTTTTCAGATCACTTCTAAGAATGTGAAAATCCTCTCAGCTGTGAGAGGTAGTGCCGCAAATGGATCGCTGCTGTAACGTGAGCGGGTTCTGCTTGGCAGAGCTAAGCTACCTGAGCCATTTGCTCTGGGCGGTTTTTTTGCTCTTACGCTGCACTAATTACTTCCTTTCAACCTGTGGCTGGAGAAAAACCCTTGGAGGGAATTTCATTGTTTTGTTGTTGCATCAGTGTATTTTACTTCCCAAGTAATAAAGCCTAAGTTTTTCCCCTTGTTTTAATTTGGCCTCGTAGTTAGCAGGGAAGGGTCAGTCTGACATGCGGGACTGAGACCAATCTGCGGCTAGTAGTTTGCTGATTAGGAGCTGAACTAACTGGTTTTTGAATGGTCCTCCCACCTTCGCTTTGAAATCTCTTGTAAATATACAGTTAGATTCTTTCATTGCAGATTTGGAGATGTCTCGTGATGTTGTCTGTCTTGTCCAGTGCCTTCGACTGATCGGAGAATCAATTTCCATGGAAATGGCATTCATAATGGAAATGGCTTGCTCCCGCCTCCAGCCTCCAGAAAAGGCTGCAGAGCAGATCCTGGAGGACTTGATAGCTAATGACACGTAAGGAGATGTTTTTGCAGGAGCTCCCCTGCCGCGAGGACCCGATAGCTGAGCAGGGATTGCCTGGAGCCATCCTTGATCGGCATCAAAGCGCTTTTGGGATGTGCAGGCTCTCCCTGTGCTGCAGGAGACTTTTCCAGGTCCCCTGAGAGCTGGGGAGCGTGGGTACTGGTGATGTTAGTGGGGTCTTCTGTCCAGAACCCCCTTGCTTTTGCCTGGGTCCCTCTAGAAAAGAAATAGTGGTGGTTCTGAGGTGAGATAGGGAGTAGAAGAGGAACAAGTTGCTGTTAGGTGATCGTTGCAGCCTGGAAAGCGAGTGCCTGCAGACACTTGGTAGAAGTCAGAGCCTTGGTCAAGCCATGTGGTTACTGTGCTATCCTCCTGAAATCATTCCCCCGTGGAATGCCAGCTATCTGACTCTTATTTCCTGGTAGCCTGGGGGAGTGCAATAAATAGACTGGTCCCTGCAGGCGCTGTAATAAAACTCCAAGCCAGAAGAGGATTCCCATCAAGAACGTCCAGGCTGATCAGATACGCTCCCTTCCAGGGAGGATCAGTACAGGAGGAAAGGGAGCCCTCTTGAGTTTAAACCTCATGTTGCTGTTCTTTTTCACTTTGCAGGGAAAATGTGATGGAGGATATACACAGCAAACTGCAGGAGATCAGAAACCCTGTCCATGCCATCGGAGTGCTCATCCGAGAGATGGACTACGAGACGGACGCTGACATGGAAAGAGGTGAGAAAGCTCCTAGCCATGCATTTGAGCTGGGAAAGTGGTGGCTCAGCAAGTGTTCTCGTCGGTCTAGTTCCACCCCTTATCTCGGCGATTTTATCTTTCAGCTCATCATCTAAATATGCGCATGAACCTCACCCAGCTGTATGGTAGTGGCACTGCTATCAGTGTGGTTTGCTGCGGGGTATGTAAGATTGCCACGATCCGTTTCCTGATCTGTCGGGACCTGTTGATCCTCCAACAGCTGTTGCTGCGGCTCGGAGATCCTGTGAGTACAGCCCTTGAAGCTACTGCTACTCCCTTTGAACTTTCGGATCTGGGGTTCTGCTGGTGCCAGACTGTGAGCTCTGTCTCTTCCCACAAAACACTGGAGGCTGTTTGAACTGGCCCCAGGCTTGGGCCAAGCCCTGTTTTCTCCTCCAGCCGCTTTTGTCATCCTAAGCAAAGCAGCGATGCGCCGCGCTCACACCCTAACTCCCTCTTTCCACGCTGAGCATCCAGGCAGCAGGAAGCAAAACTCTCTTGGTGGGAGGAGGGCATCGTTTCCAGCCTCCCGCCTGCAACAACGCTGCCTGAGCACGTACAGTTCTCCCTCCCATCTACTCCCCGTCCCTCCCACACCACTGCGCAGCCCAGCACGCACACGATCGCAGCCTTGTTCTCCGGCAGCGCAGCGCGTGGCACCTCTGCGTCACGGCAGCAGTGTTTACCCAGAGGCTGCGGTTTCAGCCTCTCTGAAGCTGCTCCAGCCAGTGCAAACAGTTGCCGTGATGGCAGCTGTGTTTGTGCTCCTGGGACGGGCTGGTCTGGGTCCATCCCGGTCGCCGTGTGAGGGATGGTGCTGATGGTTTGGGTGGACACAGGGCTGCGGAACAAGTCCCCAGACAAGGGCAGTGTTGTTTAAACCAATGTTATTTACTTAGAAACATTACTGAAGTAGTTTCTTGGTTGAAAAGAAATCCCTTTCCTCCTGGATAAGGTCGCCCTGGGAGCATTTAAAGCACGTTGCAAGGTGCCCTTCTGGAGCCAGGCGCTCTCAAGGCATGTGACCTGCTGCTTGCTTGATGAGGGACTGCTGCTTTGCCACCTTGGCACGCTTGTGTCCTTCATGAGCGTGGATTGCTTTGCCTTCCATGTCACCTAGCTGTGCTGCTCTTGGCTGGAGCGTACAGGGATGCAATGCCTGGGCAACAGGGCGAGCCCTGAGGTGGTCTCTGCAGCAAAGCTGCGATTGCACTCTCGGTGACATCGCTGCGGCAGGGCAGAGCACCTTTTGGCTGTCGCTGGCATCAGTAGGTGCTGGTGTTTGAAGGCTAGAGAAGCACTTGCTGTGCAAGTAGTGTTGTTCGTTAAATTTTCCCTACGGGGTCTGGGCCACCCGAATATTTAACTCGCCCTTTAGTCCTAAGGGGACACTGTAATTTCTGCCTGGGTTACTCTGCTGTGCGCCAGAGTCCTGCTGGTCCCCTGGGTGGGCTGAGTTGACTGCTGGGCTATTGACCACCTTGGCGTTAGTAGGAGGGATGAGCTGAGCCCAGTACAAACCTCCTTGATTGCCCTTCTCCTGCCGTTGCTCTGGGCTTGGCCTCTCGGTGAGCCGACCTCTGTGGTTTGCTTGCAGATGGTTTTGGGAGGGGGACAGCTGTTCCAGTCTCAGCAGGACCTGCTGCACCGCACCTCTCCCCTGCTGCTGTCTTACTACCTGATCAGGTGGGCAAGCCAGTGCCTGGCGTCGGATGTCCCTGTCGACACGCTGTAAGTCTCTACCGTGCTCATTCTGTCTTGGAATGATTGTAGGTTCCTGCTAAATCCACCTGAAATGCCCTTCCTGGTATGAAAAGCTGGTGGTTACTGTGGGAGTATCACTCTAGGAGTCAGGTTGTGCTGGGGAGGGTTGGTGGTGTTTTGTTTTTTTTTTTTTTTCCTTCAATGTTCAGAGCTGACTCTTTGCCTTGTGCTAATTCTGCCGTGTGAGGTCTCGCTGTTCTGTGCACTGTTGCCTTTTTCAGCAGTAGGAGTCATTCGAGTTGAACAATGAGCACAATTAAAGCAGGAGGCGTTTTGTTGTCTCTTCACTGATGGCTTTTTTTCTTCTCTAGGGAATCTAATCTGCAGCATCTATCTGTGTTGGAGTTAGCAGACACCACTGCTCTAACACCCCATAAACTAGGTAAGATGTCCACAGTTCATCAGCTCTCGGTTTCTGTTATTTATACCTCTTGCACACCGCGGCTCTGCCGCCCGAGGGAAATCCTTCACGCTGTGAGCTAATGGAGTGCCTGGTTGAATGACCCCACTTTACGTGGAGATGTTTGTCATGCTGTCCACCAAAAAACAACAACAACAACAAAAGTATCTCGCAACATTGGACTTGGACTGGAGATGTGGATCTCATCCTCAGCCTGAGGAGGATGGGAAGGCCTCGCTCGGCCAAACATTATTTGCCCCGAGAAGCTGTGGCTGCCCCATCCCTGGAGGTGTTCAGGGCCAGGTTGGACGGGGCTTGGAGCAACCTGGGCTGGGGGGAGGTGTCCCTTCCCAGGGCAGGGGGGTGGAACGAGGTGATCTTCAAGGTCCCTTCCAACCCAAACCATTCTGTGGTTCTCTGGTTATTAATTCTGACCCCGGCAAGATCAGCCGAGCTCACATCTCGCTCCTGTAGGTTGGAGCGGCAGTGGTGGGTCAGAGCAGGTCTGTCCTGCTCGCTAGCCTTTACCCCGCAGCGAGCAGGAGCAGCAGCTCAGGGAAGTGAGAGAATGTAGAAATACTTCCTCAAAACATGCTTCTGCTTCCAGCGCTTTGCAATTCAGATGTGAGTGTTGCTCACAGCCGGTACCTCGAGGGGGAAATCGCAGCTGATGATAATTCGTTCACATTTTAAAAGTCTTGCTGCAGAGATGTATGCTTTGGGTTACGGTCTTGGGGGAGAAATCCTGATGGGGGAGACTATAAGGGAACTTAATTAGGAGATGCGTACCTTGAAGTGGTTACAGAGGGAGGCGGTGAGCAGGGTAGGGGAGTAAATGCACAGGTAAGAGCTTGCCATAAGTAGTCTGCGTGGCATTTTGAGGCCGAGACACTTCAGAGGGAGCTGAGAAAACCGGTGACAAACAGGCAGCAGTGCCACATGTGAAGGGCTGTGAGCTGAGGAAGAATTTCCTCCGCTTGCTGACAGGCCTGGGGCGCCTGTGCTCTTCGGAGTCCGAACTCTCCCTGAATGAGAGCCTCGGTTCAGGAGGCAGTTGCCTCCGCGTAAATGTCAGCTCATGAAAGCCAAATTGAAAACATCCTTTGTGTGTGGCGGTGTCGTGGGTTATTTCTTGGCCCGCTCATGAGGAAAGTCCTGTTTGGCCGCTGTGCTTTAGGAAAAATATGTGAGACGTGGGGAAGATAGAAAGGAGGTGGCAGCCTGGGGAGAGGCGTTGAGAACAGTTAGCTAATGGGAGACTGGGCTGCTTACAGGGCTGGAATGAGGAGGGAGGCATTTGAACAGAGCCAGATAGCCAAATCAGCACTCCCTGTAAAACACTCGATGGTGCTGGAAAGCTGTGAAAGGTTGTGAATAGCGCAACTAGAGAGAAAGCACAGCCCTTTTTTTTTTTTGGTTGGTTTTTTTTTTGTTCTTGTGTTATAATTGAGTTGCGGTTAATAAACATTGCAGCATGTGTCTCTTTGATCTTCTGCTACTCCCTCTGACTTAACCAGACGGCAAGAGAAATCCAAAACCAACAAGTTTGGGTATTGAACACGCTTATTATTTGGCTCTGACATAATCCATGATGTTTGGGCTGATGAGCGCAGCACGGTGTAGAGAGCCTGGGCTGTCTGCTGTGGCCCTTCTTCTCAGTGTTTCTTTAACTTGTGTTTTTAGTATCCAGCCCTCAAACAATTGTGGAGCTGTTCTTTCAGGAAGTTGCCAGAAAGCACATCATATCTCGACTCTTCTTGCAACCAAACACTTCTTTGGCCGAAACAAGTTTGAACTGGCCCCAGCTCATTACCGCGATCGTGTCTGACTTTCTGCCGCTCCTGTATCCTTGGCTGTAAATCCGCCGCGAGGTGCTCGCTCCTGCCGGGATGTAACCAGGGGGAGTTTCTGTCCGGCATGGCAGTGCTGGAGCCGCCGTGCGCGTGGAGATTGCACGGAAGCTGTGTATCGCGTCCCGATCCTGAAGCTGGGAGCGTCAGTGGGTCAGCGGGAGGAGGACTGGGGCTAGCAGAGGGGTTAGGGTGGTGGGCTTGCAGAGTGCTCGGCGGCTCTAAGTCGGTCAGCTCCGCCACCAAGCCTCGTGCAGTTCTAAAATCAATGTTTTCCACACCCAAATTTTGAAGGCAAGTCTCCTGAACAAGTGACTGTTGTTAGTGTTAATGGGATTTGTTAAGATTTCGCAGAATCCATCCCGTGTAGGTGCACAATGAAGGATTTGAGTTGTTGACTTTAAGCCCCTGAGCTCTAGCAACTTGGCTTGGTGAGGTGCGATGCCGGGAGATTTGGAAGGGGAACAAGATTTGGGCAGTTGTGGATTAGATGTACTAATGGTTTTGTTCTAATATGGATAAATCTTATTACAGAATAATGACTTGTATAAAGAGCAGCTTAATCTTCTCTCCTTTCCCCCCACAAACCGAGCGTGAGAGGCATGCCGACTTTCAGACTAGTTCTCTGAGCTCTCCGGACTGGATGGTCCTCTGTTCCTTAACCTCCGCTCAGATGGCCCAGCAATCCCGGCTTCCTCTTCCCCGAGTGCCTGATGGGGAGCTGTCAGTACACCCAGCTCCAGGTGAGTGCTTCGCGCCGGCTCTCTCGCAGCAGCTGAAAGGGGAAGAACGGGAGCGAGTGCCACAGTCTCTTCTCACCCATGGGTTTCTTTCAGTAGCAGCTCTGCGCTTTGGCCGATGCAGAGGTGTAGCGCAGCATGAGCTCAGTGCACAGCCGCCTTACCTCTGCTTAGGAAAAAAAACTACCCAAAACATCATCTTTCCAGTCGCTGGAGGTTTGTTCTGCTTTCCCCTAGTTGTTCTCTGAGCTCAGACGTGAGCTAATCTTCCCAAGCGCTCTGCTCCCATGTCTCCCTTTTGGAGATGATGGGCTGTGAGTTTGTCCTGCAGGTGAAACGGACTGCAAGGAACAATTCTTCCAGTGAACTGTCAGAAATCTCTTCTAACTATCACAGTGTCAGCGCAGTGAATAAATTGTAAGGTAGCAGATACCTTCCATCTTCCTCATGCATCCCTCTTGTTCCCTCTAGTGTCCACCTCCGCTAACAGAAGGGTTTTTTGCTAAATACCTCATACCTAGGAAATGCTGCGGAGAGTTTGCTGATAATCATTTAAGACGGTCATCTTAGGTGTTTCCTCTTTCATCTGTTTTCAAGAAAATCCAGGCATAAGCGCTCAGGACTATTATATACCCTTTTCGTGGAGGAGTTCAGTCTCCCAGGGCTTGTCTGACAGCGTGATACTGTGCACAAGAAACATCTTTGCGGAGCTTGTTTAAATATCACGGCAAGCCCGTAACCTAGGTTTGTTAGCTGCCGCTGTACCCGTGGCCTTTTCTGCAGTACCGTTGTAAGCAGATTGCCCATGGGACTCGGCGTTCGGAAGGCTGTCTTCAACCCCGCAGCAGAAGTACTGTTTTACGAGGGCACATCTATTTCTTAAACGTCCTTACTAGTAACAAAAAACAGCGTAAGAAACCTCCATCGTCTTTCCATCCCTGGCTGCGCTCCCAACATCTCGGTAGCAAGGCGAGTGAGTAGCTTTTTTCTTTTTTTCAGGTGTCTCTGTAGAGTGCAGTATTTCAGACCACTGTTTTTCCACCGTCTCTTCTGTGCTCTTCGGGGCCTTGGCAGTTGTAGCTGCTTGTGCTCTAGTTCTGAACCGCACGATTTCTTGTCTGCAGAGCCATGTGACACAGTTCATTCCCCGACTGATGGCAGTCCTTGAGGCACGCAGGGTTAGGCAGGCTGTTATTAGGGAGATGTTTTTTCCTGTGCTTAGCAGAACCTTTTATTCTCACAGTCCCTTACACCTGGGGGCTGAATTGCTTTCTTTTGTGTTCATGTCGCTGCTGAGAAGAATGTCAAATCTGCAGAGCTTTTGAGCCAGGAAATGCCAGGACGGTTTGGGCAGCATCGTTCTGCCTCCTGGCATGTGTGCACTCTCGTGGTGCGAGCACGCTTTGAATTTCCTTGCATTGCTTTCGCCTCACTTGTGTGCCGCCTGAGGAGACGGGAGAGACTCTTATCTCTGCAGGAGCGGGCTCTTCCTCCTCCCCGCTACCTTCTGTTACGCTTACTGATCCCAGTCGGTCACGTAAACTTGGATTAAGTGCGTTGACCTCGAGAAGCTAACACCAGATTTGCTGTGAGCATGAGCACCATGACCCAAATAGAGGCGGAGATAGAGAAGCACCCTGCGAGTAACAGGCGGGCCAGGAGAAGGTCTAGTGACCAAAGCACTGGCCTGGGACGAGGGCCAAACCTCTCCTTGTTGCTTATTCTTTGTGACAAGCTGTTGAGCAAGCCTGGGGTGGGATTTATCTGTTGTAGCTGGCTAATCTTGAGCGGTGAATCCAGGCTCAGAGGATGCGTTGCCACGTGGCTTTTAGCGGACCCGTGGCCGGTGAGGCGTACGTGCTGGTGGTTTATGCACGTGCAAAGACGCGGATCGGCCAGTGAGACCTCGGCTTTACCGCCAGGTCCTGGCTTCTCCTCCTCCTTTCCTGCCGAGTCCCTGGGCCCTGCTAGCGGGACATCTCTGCTTCTCCAAGTACGAAGAGCACACGCCGCTCTCTCCCCGGCACGAGGGATGCCAGCTTTTGAGTTTTCATCGTGCCTCCTAGCTGCTTCTTGATAGGTGATGACACTTCACAGCCCTTATATTATCCTGACAGAGCAGGCGCGGGGCCAGGTTGTGTCGTATCGCCCTGGCCAGCGTCCGTGTTGTGTCTTTATTTGCGGCGTGTCCTTGGTGCCGTCAGCGCTCCACCCCGTGCCTGTCAGTTTGTTGCTGTAATCCACGGTCTTCCTTGGCTGCTCTCCCTCTCCTGCCCTGCTGCACAGATACTGCTCTCCTAATGCCTGTTCTGCCCGTTCTCCCGCTGCCTTCACGCATGCACACTCCCGTTCAGGCTCCGTGCGGATTTTTGGAGATGTTTGCTGCTGTTTCTGAAGCGCTTCTTACAGACACTGGAGCTCTTCAGAGCAGGTTGTTTCCCAGAAGCACGTGGGCTCTTCCCCTTCTGTGCACCGAGGGGACTTTGGGGCTGGGGAAACCAGCCCTTGAGCTGGAAGAGTGGGATTTGTGTGAGCACTGGAGCTAAAGGGGCCACCAAAATAGTGCTTTGGTGTTGGAGACCGAACTCTTCCTCTGGTACTGGGTGCCTTCAGGTCACGAGCGAGCGCTGACCTGAATCAAAATTCCCATTCCTCCTCTCCTGTAGGAATACATTCGTCTGCTGCAGCCGTGGTGCCACGTGAACATGGGCTCCTGCTGCTTCATGATGGGCCGGTGCTACCTTGTCATGGGTGAGGGGCACAAGGTAAGGCCCTCATCTCCCGGCACTGCCTTTCTATGGGGTCTGGGACCTTTTTCCTCGGGAGGGTGGTAAGTGTAGGTAGGGTCAGCCTTGTTTCTGCTGTGTAAGGTCAGGAAACTTCCATCTCGAGCTCTTCCTCCTTTGGGCAAAGAGTGGGATTGGAGGGGGACAGTGGGGTCTGCTTTTGGGGAAGTTCTAGTTAGTTTGTGGCCAGCAGGTCTCGGACACTGGAGCTGGAACGGGCAGCACTGTCCGCTCACCAGTACAGCAGGCTGGGAGGGCACACACGAGCTGCTTTCTGGTCTGCTTCTAGGCTTTGGACTGTTTCTGCCAAGCTGCGTCGGAGGTGGGAAGAGAAGAGTTCTTGGACAGGCTGATCCAACCTGAGGAGGGTGAGATGGTCTCCACTCCACGTCTGCAGTACTACAACAAGGTAGGGCTGAGCCGGCTCAGCGCACACGTCCTGACCGAGGAAATTGGCACTGAGTCATCCCACACAGACACTGACCGGAGAGAGAATTCCTGCTTGGTCCCCGGCTTTTGGGGAAGTGACTTGAGACTCAGAAAACATTCTTTTTTTGGAAGGTGGAACCTCAGTGTAGTCTGTTTACTTTCTTTGAGGGGTGATGACAAGGTGACTAGAGTGCAAAAGCTAGGTACTTTCCACCTATTGCTTTCTGAATAGCAGAGGACTTTGTTATCCAGCAGAAAAAGGCAGGGTGAGATCCAGCTGCTGGAGGCAGAAGCCAGACTTGTCCAGGCTAGACGTAAGATGCCGCTTAAGGGGAAGGTTATTAAGCTTTGAGGCAAATTCAAACGAATGTCTTTAAATTGAGATAGGATCTTTCTTCTTGCATCACACCATAGTTCAGACAGGCTGCAAGCTTGGACCTAGGCTCATCGTAAGGGATTCCCTGATTTTAAAAGCCAGAAAACACAAGGATGGTCAGGTGCCCTTGGAGAGGGAACTTCTCACTCTAATAGAGCTGCGTGCGTGCTTGGGGGCAGAATCGTTTACCTCTCTGTCGCAGGGGTCGTGAATGTTTCAGAAACCGCTAAAATGTTTCAGAAAACTCACATGTGCAGAGATGACTCCTCCAGAAACGCCATAGCCTGGGCCTGTTGCGCTGGGATTTGGTTCAGACCTCTGCGACTTACTAAAATCTTTCCTTTTTTCAGTCTAATCGCTTAGAAACATTGGCAAAATCTTTGGTTAGTAGGGGCAGGAGTAGCTCTTCAAACAAACAAACCAACCAACCAAAAAAAGCCCCTCGCCATCCCAACCTGTTCTTTGGTACTGCCTCAGCCAATGCCAGAGTATTGTCTTCTCCAGGTTCTGCGCTTGTTGGACATGGTGGGTTTACCGGAGCTGGTCATCCAGCTGGCTACCCTGGCTATCATGGAATCGGCGGATGACTGGAGAAGCCAGGTACGGGTCACTTCTTTTGCATCGGGATGTTTCTTTAGGGAGCTTACAGGGGACTTTCTTTTTAGTTGTATAACTCGAAACACGCTCTTCGGTGTTTTCAGGCTACTTTGAGGACTTGCATCTTCAAACATCACTTGGATTTAGGACACAACAGTGAAGCATATGTAGCTTTAACGCAAAACCCGGATCCAAGCAGGTAGGTGACAGTTTTCTGCCTTTATGCTCGCTTGCCTGGGAGGTCCGTGTGCTGATTTTTCCATCAAACTGAAAGGAAGATGACGCTTTAGGGTAGAACGTGGCTGCTGTGTTAAGAGGTTCTGTTTGAGCTTGTGGAAAGGTGTGTTTGAAAAGGCGCGCTTCATTTTTGTAAGAACAGCTGGGATCAGCGCTGTCTCAAAGGAGGAAAAAAAGCTGATTCAGGGAAGAGCCAAAAGAATGGCTGAAGGATCGCAGGCGGCCTTGTATGTTGAAAAGCTCCAGGAGTCCCATCAGTTTAGTTTAATTTAATAAAGAAAGGACTTGAAGTTGAATTTTCAGCTTGAGTACCATGTGGGAAGTGAACTGGGTAGAGGAAGCTTCGCTCTGGCAGAGGAGGATGTGCTGAGCAGGAATAGCTGGAATGGACGTTCAGAGGAGAAATAGGAACGCATTTTAATTGAGGATGAAGAAAATCTCACCAAATAGAGCTGAGGGGAGGGAGACTGTTCTCCTGAGAGACCTTTGCAGAGGATCTTTGCTGTCCAGGATCTCTGTTTCCAGCTCAGGAGAAGCCTGAAGGGACTCCTTGGTTCTAAGCCAGAAAAAACCTACGGAGCTTGTCACAAAACGGCGTGTTCATGGCTCAAAGCCTGCACCCTGGAGATGGGTTTGTTCCCGCTCCTCCTCCTCCTCCTCCTCCTCCAGAATGGTTGCGCTTCTCTCTCCACAGGCAGCTGGACTGTCTGCGCCAGCTAGTGGTGGTTCTCTGTGAGCGTTCCCAGCTCCAGGACCTGGTGGAGTTCCCTTACGTCAACCTCCATAACGAGGTAATCAGCCTTGCGCTGGGAGGAATGGGGAGGAGGGCACAACCCCTCTCTTTTAAAGGGATTGTCCACCCATTTGAGCCTCCTCCGTGTGCTGCAGGTCGTGGGGATCATCGAATCTCACGCTCGAGCGGTGGACTTGATGACCCACAATTACTACGAGCTGCTCTACGCTTTCCACATCTACCGCCACAACTACCGCAAGGGTGAGGCTCGGGGTGGGCACCCAGTAACAGCCCGACTGCCTGCGACACTGCTTTTTTTTTTTTTTTTTTTTTTTGGTGGCTTGTCCATGTCCAGGCTCTTGGCTGACGTGTTCCCCTTCTCTCCTCAGCTGGAACGGTGATGTTTGAATACGGCATGCGCCTGGGCCGGGAGGTGCGGACGCTCCGAGGGCTCCAGAAACAGGGAAACTGCTTCCTCGCTGCTATTAACTGCTTACGGTTGATCCGCCCAGAGTACGCCTGGATAGTGCAGCCGGCTTCTGGAGCTGTGGTAGGAAACGCTGAGCTTTGCTACGAAGCCTCTGACCTGAGCTACTGACTGTGGGGACGCTTACAGCTGTATGTTTGGGAAGGAGCTTCCAAAATCCTTTCCGATGTGATGAGCAGAGGCGTCGGCCTCCTTAAGCTGCCGCTCACAACTTGTGCAGCGCTGTCTTGCCCCGCTCAGTGGAGATGTCGGTCCTATCCGTCACCCTTGTATCGTTGTCTCTCTTTGGAGCTGGGTAGAAGCAGGACAAGTTTTGAGAGGGGACCGGTGTACATATGTGGGAATATATCACTTTTTGTTGAAGACAGACAAAATCTTTTGGGGGAGTCTGAATAGCCAGAATACCAGTCAAAAGGAGAATTACTGTAAGGTGGTTTGTGTTTCAAAGCTGTTTGCGGGGAGGTAATGACCGTAGCCTGATGAGCTAATGCTAATGCCGTGCTGTGTTTCTGATAGCCAGAGATAACCGTAACTTGAACTGCCAACGGGTTGTGTGGCTTTTCTGATTCAAATCAAGGCTCTTAAACAGAGAGCTGGTGTTGGGGCTGCATCGTATGGAGGCAATTTGTCCTTTGAATACCAGGTGGGCATAAACTCTTTCTGCTTTTTCCTGCAAGTACGAACGCCCTGGAGCATCCCCCAAGAGAAGCCACGACGGGGAGTGCACGGCTGTTCCCAGTAAGTGCCCAGTCCCGGTGCTTCCTCTTGACTCAGAGAGAGCAGCCTCTCCGCTGGCCTTGGAGCTCTGCTGCTCTCCTGTGAGCCGGGAGGTGGCTCAGGGCAGCCCCCACCTCTATCAGATCAATAATTTGGGCAATTGTAAGGTCGTTACCAGTTAGATAACCTCTCTGATAGAGGCGGAATGGTGGGTTTGTAGCGAGAAGATAGGCAGAGTTCAAGGTAACAAGGAAGGGGCAGAAAAACCTGACCTCTCCCGTGGCGCTCGCTGTGGTACGACTCCTTTTAGGATGGCAGAGGGGTGTAGAAGTTTCGCGCAATCCCTGAGGAGCCCTTTTTTAAAACGCTGAGAGCCCTTCGCGTCCATCTGTTACAGCAACTCGCCAAATCGAGATCCTGGAGCTGGAGGATTTGGAGCGGGAGTGTGTGTTGGCTCGGATCCGGCTGACTCTGGTGCAGCATGACCTGTCAACAGCGGCTGTGGCAGGTAAGAAGGCTGCAGCGCCGCCACCTCTCGCTTCCCCTGAGGTTTGTGGTACAGTCGTAGCTCGGGTGAGGAAGCAGCAGTTTTGTTCTGACCCGGAGACAAAACCAGGAGCTGGCCGGGATCGTTCCATTCGCCTCCCGAGCGTGAAATCTTGCCGCCGAGTTCGGCAGCTTTGGGGAGGCGGATCAGGAGAAACAATTTGAAGTTTTCCGTCTCTTTTTTTTTTTTTTTTTTGGCTTTGCCAAGCTGTGGTAGTGGTCTGCAGCGTGGGGCTGGGGTTGAGCTCGTGAGTTGGGACAAAAAGGCATCTTTTGTGTTTTGCTGGAAATTGCCCCCATAGGAAGTAGAACTGGAAAGCCCCGGAAAAAAACACTCGATGCAAGACTTAAATCATTGTCCTGGACAATCCTGCTTCACAACACAGTGTCAGCTTATCAAAGTTGTTCCTTGTTGGGGAGCGGAGAGCTGCAGCTCTCCCACCCTGACCATTTAAAGTATGTTCTGCCCCTCTCTGGTATGAGTTACGCAACATATATGCATTTTTCTCCTTTAAGTATCAGGAGGAGACGCCTTCCCAGTAAGGGATTGCAGGGAAAGGATTGAACAGCTGGTTTGAGGGCAAACTGGAGACGTGGGGAGCCGAGTGCTGCAGTTTCATCTCCCCTCCTGCCTGCGCTGGCAGAGCTGAGCTGATGCCTTGCTCACATGGATACAGGCCTGCTGTGCCAGTGACACGGCTGTCCCCTCCCCGCTCACCTAAACAGCGGCAGCATTTGATTTCGGGCCGTACGGTGCTGCCTGTGTCCCTCTCCAGCTGGTGCCTGACCAGGGACGGCTCCCTGGGTCCCTGTTGCTTTGTGTGGTCCCTCCAGGGACGGCTCCTGGGCTCGTGAGATGCTCCTGAGGCCAAGAAAGCCTCGAGCCGTGCGATGAGGAGGACTGCTGCAGGGTGTTTAGCACAGTGCTGCTGTAACTCTGCCGCTGAATTGCGTGGGGTTAGGCCCCAGTAAGCACTGGGGTATGACTGGGGGAGGCGTTTACCTTGTCCTCCCTCCCTGCAGGCAACTCTACGCCCGAGGAAACGGTTGCTCTCCTGGTCCGGGCCGGCCTCTTCGACACCGCCATCACTCTGTGCCAAACGTTTAAGCTGCCCTTGACGCCCATCTTTGAGGGACTCACTTTCAAGTACGTAACGAGCTGCTTCTCCTCCCCGCTGCGGGTGATGCGCGGCCGCGGGTGACGTGCGCTGCGTGACGCTTGGCAGGGCACAGCTTGCAGCTCCCCAGGGGCAGAAGCCAGCGCTGTCCTGACCTGTCCGCTCGCCGTGGCTGCTAACGCCGTGCCCAGCCTCAGCGGCTGCTGGCTTAGCGGTTTGGAGGGGGAACTTGCTCTTCACACCTAAAAAGGAGGAAAAAAAAAAAAAAAAAAAGGGAGCTTTGCTGAGCCAGGAGGGATTGGGGAGGGATTTCCCCCCGGTCTCAGGGGAGAGAGCTGGTGTCTGACAGTCGCAGGTGATCCCGACCCTGGCACAGCCATCATCTGGAGACCTTTTCTGGTGAGCTGGCTCATGGCACGCTCCTGCTGCTGCCCAGTGAGCTGCTTACAGAAGATTTGTTGGAGCTGTTGAGCGGCTCTCGAAGAGTGGTTGGCAGAGCGCTTGCTCTTCTGTCTGATCTCTGTGCTCGTCCTTTGCTCTCATCCCTCATCTCCGACCCCAGGATTCCTCTTCTCCTTTGCCTCTCCGCGCTTCCAGAAGCCGCGTTGCGCCTGCGGAGTTGTTCAGGAGCTCTGCTGCGACCTGTTCCTGCGGCTGGACGCACGGAGGGCATCTCTTGCCCAAAATCGGGGCCCCAAAGCTTGCCTAACATCAAGAGTCGTTATTAATTCCTCTCTGGCACTTTGAGCGGCTCAGAAATCGCTCTAACAGCCGCCTTGTCCTGCCGAGGCGGCTGATCCGTAGCTGTCGCTTGGGAATAGTCCTGCGAGGGGTGACTTTGGTGGCGGCTGTGGCGAGGCGGGGGGACGAGGACGGGCTCGGAAGGCGCCCACCTTTGCACCACTCTGTCTTGCAGGTGCATCAAGCTGCAGCTGGGAGGGGAGGCGGCGCAGGCAGAGGCTTGGGACTGGCTAGCGGCAAACCAGCTCTCCGCGCTGGTTACCACCAAGGAATCCAGGTAGGTCCTTGTCTGTGGGGGGAGAAGAGCGGAGCTGCTTTTCACGAGTGGGTCATATCTGGAGGCGGAAAGAAGCCTTGCAGGAATCCAGGCCTCATAAAACCCACTCAAAGCAGACCTGCGGGACTGGGACAGCGGGACAGACGTGCTTCCGTGCTGTCGCAACGCTCTCCCCAGCCTGCTGTACGCAGCACGCCCCGCTTTGCTGGGTCTGAAGCGCACGCGTTGAAGCCGGGCAGCGGGACAGTTTGCCCTGGAGCACAGCGTGGCCTCGCAGACAGCGGCAGGGGCTGCTGGCGCGGGTTCCGAGGGGAAATTATTGCCTTGCAGCGCCACGGATGAAGCCTGGCGCCTGCTGTCGTCCTATTTGGAGCGTTACCCGTCCCAGAACAGCCTGTACCATCGCTGTGTCATCAACAAGCTCTTGGCACACGGGATACCTCTGCCCAACTGGCTCATTAACAGCTACAAGGTGAGGACAGGGAGAGGGTCACTGCTCAGCGCGGGCCAAAAAAACCCCGGCTGTCCCAGTGCCTACCAGATCACCTTGGCTTCCTCAGTCACCTCCTCGTTGCAGGCTTTACCGCTCTATTTCCCATTCCCAGCTCCGGGAAGTCGCGCTGGATGCTTTGTGCCCGTTACTGAGGCTCAGAGCAGGTTCCTCTCGGCCTCGTGGCGGCTCCTGGGCACGTTCCCTGGCTGACACCAGCCCCTTTTGCTTGCAGAAAGTGGACGCTGCCGAGCTGCTGCGTCTCTATCTGAACTACGATCTGCTGGAGGAGGCTGTGGATCTGGTCCTGGAGTACGTAGACGCCGTGTTGGGCAAAGGGCACCAGTATTTTGGAATCGAGGTGAGCTCACCTGCAGCGTGGGATGTGGCAGGGAACCGTTCCCTGGGGCAGATCCCGCTTGGGATCGGGGTGTTTTGCCCTCGACTTGCGTGGCGGTGCTTCCAGGGGAAACGGGTGTGGATAACCCACCTTAGAGGAGTGGAGACCCCTTAGCAGAACCAGCAGGACAAGCATGTGTTGGGACATGGTGGCCAGGGGGCTTTTCCTTGCCGTGGCTGTGGGGAGGAGCGTTCCCATACACACAACACCAGGGTTCCTCTCCCTTCCAGTTCCCGCTCTCCGCCACCGCCCCTATGGTGTGGCTGCCCTACACCGCCATCGACCAGCTGCTCCAGGCGCTGCAGGAGAGCACCACCAACCATCACAACGTCGTGGTAGGTCCGGCTGCCCCTGGGGAAAAGGGGGCCGAGGGGTGGCAGGGAGCACCACAAGGTGCCCGAGCAGAGGGAGAGTGGGAATGGGATGTGGGACGGGATGGGAGCACTGGTCTCTGATGCCTGCTCTGCCCCTCGTCCAGCTCTATCAGAAGCTGCATGACAAGATGGAGGACTACCAGCAAAAGGTCAACGTGGCCACCCGGGATCGCCTGTACCGCCGCAATTAGTGGCAACCCCATCTCCCGCCCGCCCTCGGCCACCACTCTCTGTCCAGGTGACGTCCCCGGGAGCCGACACCGTCCCACCCCCCACTGGCTCAGCCGGTGGTGCTATTTTTATTCATTTTTTTTCCATAAAAAAGTCCAGTTTGGGGAAGTGGAACGCACCTCGCTGTCCCTTCTGAGTGGTGATTGGTGATGAGCAGAGCTCTGGGGTGTCACCGTCACCGGGGTGACCCCCCTCGCTCTCATCCTGTACCATACGCGGCAGGTTTTGGCGTTTCTTTTTATTTATTGTTGTGTTTTTGGATGAACTTTAATAAAATCAAAGTGTTATTAGAGGTTTGCGTCGGGCTGGGTGCTGCCCCCCAGCACCCTCGGGATTTCAGGGGCTTGGAGGGTGAAGCAAGCAGGGCTGTAGGGCCCCTCTCCCTGGGAGAGCCCTGTAGGGCAGTATGGAGCTTTAGGGCCCAGGGACAGCACTGTGGGGTGGAGCTATAGCACCTTGCTATAGGGCCAAGGGCCAGGACTACCCTATAGGGGCAGTGCTATGCTGTAGGGCAAGATGGAGCTATTGCCCCACCCTTTCCCGCCGCAATGAGTGGCAACCCCATCTCCCGCCCGCCCTCGCCCACCGCTCTCTGTCCAGGTGACATCCCCGGGAGCCGACACCGTCCCACCCCGCACTGGCTCAGCCGGTGGTGCTATTTTTATTCATTTTTTTCCATAAAAAAAGTCCAGTTTGGGGAAGTGGAACGCACCTCGCTGTCCCTTCTGAGTGGTGATTGGTGATGAGCAGAGCTCTGGGGTGTCACCGTCACCGGGGTGACCCCCCTCGCTCTCATCCTGTACCATACGCGGCAGGTTTTGGCGTTTCTTTTTATTTATTGTTGTGTTTTTGGATGAACTTTAATAAAATCAAAGTGTTATTAGAGGTTTGCGTCGGGCTGGGGGCTGCCCCCCAGCACCCTCGGGATTTCAGGGGCTTGGAGGGTGAAGCAAGCAGGGCTGTAGGGCCCCTCTCCCTGGGAGAGCCCTGTAGGGCAGTATGGAGCTTTAGGGCCCAGGGACAGCACTGTGGGGTGGAGCTATAGCACCTTGCTATAGGGCCAAGGGCCAGGACTACCCTATAGGGGCAGTGCTATGCTGTAGGGCAAGATGGAGCTATTGCCCCACCGGGCTATAGGGGCAGGATGGGGCTATAGGCTCCATACATGGCCCCATACTCAGGTGATAGAGGTGGCACCGTGCTATAGGACAGAAGGGGGCTATACGGTGTGACAAGGCAGGATGGGGCTGGCACCGTGCTATAGGGCAGGACGGGTCTATAGGCTCCAGGAGCGGCACTATGCTGTAGAGCAGGAGGGGGCTATAGGTTCCGAGGGCAGGAGGGGGGCTCCGGGCTCCAGGAATGGCACTGTGCTATAGGGCAGGATGGGGCCGGCACCGTGCTATAGGGCAGGAGGCAGCTATAGGGCAGGAGCGGTCTATACGCTCCCGGGGCAAGCGGGAGTCGAAGGGGCGTGGCGCTGCTCCCAGCCTTGGGCGGAGCGTTGCTGTGGCTCCGCCCCCCTCGACGCCGTGACGCATCACGCAGCGTCC